TTTGAATGTAAAATATATTTAAGTGCTTTCAATGGTTTATAGGGACTTTAAAATGTTATCTTGCAGTCTTTTGAAGAAGTTGTAGATTTTGTACCATTTCCATGTCAGCTTCAGGCAGGGAATTGAAGTTTTTGATGATGGATAAGTGTGTCATGTCTTCTTAACATGTCTCATCATGTTTCATTCATTCCCAAAGAATATGACTTAGCTGGAATTCATCTTTTTATTTCATATTCAGTTTCATAAAAAATTTAAAAGTGGCACATATACTTGGCATTCCTCTTAGCTAAGGGTTATAATCCAAGCCTGAAAAATCTTAGTTTTGTTTATACTTAAGTCTGGAAATTTGCCTCCATTTTGCAGACGTGTGTATGTGTGAGGAAGGAAAGGAGGTGATGCTCTGGAGTAAATAAGTCAGAATACATTCTTGAGAACTTAAAACAGATCACTCCAACACCTACACCTTAAATGTTTGTTTCTAAACCACTGAGAATTTTACATTAATAATGTGGAACAACAAATAGCTAAGAACATAACTTTTAAAAGCTTTTTATAAAGGCCAGTGGGATCTTCAGCAAACCTACAAAGGTTCTTGAACCTACCACTATATACAAAACTGAAAAGTTGTTGAGTTCATCAGAAATTAAATGGTCATTTGTTTTATGCACCATGATTTAAGGTATATTTATTGGTATATCTGGTCAGATGTGATAATCAGAAAAGGGATTTGTAAAAGAAACTCCAAAGTTAATAGGTGAACACTAAACAGTGATCTAAATAATGGTATTGGAGAATTTGTTTCCTGCTATTTGAAAGAAATTATTGCTTCATTGCTAGTTTATATTTCTAATTTATCTTCTATAGTCATAGGCTCTGCTGTGCTTTTGTACCTGAATTTCTAAATATAGACTTTAGTTTACTGTGTGCTTGCATATTTATTTTCAACTTTGTCTTTAAAATTGCTTGAGGAAAAATGGTTGTAATTTCTGCCACAGAAGAGCCACCTGGTACATTTTCTCTCATCAAGTTTGTTTTAAACCCTGAACTATAACTTGATTCACAAGAGGCTTTTGCAAGGATAGCAGAAAACTGTACAAATGAGCAGCTAGTTATAGAGGTTCTTGTTGAAATGAACTTGCCATTTGATGGTATGTACAGCTGTACACTTGAGTCTTTTCCAGTTTATTTTCGTAGACTTAGCAGTTTGACCTGTGAAGCAGTACTGGTTCACTTCAAGAAGCCAATGTTGACATAGACATCTGGAGGCACCTGTTATTCAGTTTCTTTTGAGTGGGTCTTTGGCACAATGAGGATAAATTTGTGTGACCCACTTGAATGACTGATCTAATGTTGACATCATGAATCCTGTACTTAGTGAAATGTCAGATGAAGGTAACTGGTGATTGAATAAAATGTTGTTTGTATTGAAGGCATGGGAAAGAGTACATAAATCTGTTAATAAAGCACTATGATCTGCAAAAGATAAAATGTTTCATAAAGATCTGAGGAAATAAAGGTAATTTAAAGGAAAAACAGGGCAGTCTTAAAATTCTTAGTTACATAGCAGTTCAGAAAGTACCGTAGCCCGTTTTTAAGATACTAATGCACAAACATGACAAACCATCCCTATTTTGATACCAACACAATGAAATACAAATATCTTTTAGACAACTGTGATGAAGATTAAAAAACGCAGATTTCTAGGTGTGACACCCCCCCACCCCAACTTTGAGTCTCTGCAGCGTGGGGCCTGGGATTGCAGTTGAACAGCCTCCACGATCCTTGTGCACTCTACAGCTTGGGACCTGATGGAGAGGTAGGGAACTCTGCACTCTGTCCAAGTAACTGTGGAGCCAATTTAGACCCCTCCCTGGACAGAAATGATTCAAAGAGTTGGGAAGGTATAAAATTGATTCCTGGGTATCTACTTATTGCCAGGTGCTGGCCATACGTTCTGAAATTTAATCAGTATGGGGAAAGTAGCTCTTTTTTACAAATATGAAACAGGCTTTCAATGTTGGTTGAAATTTCCCATTATCACTTTTTAATTCATGTAAGTCACAATTTCTCCAGTGTATGTTCAGAAACAGAAATGGGGCTACTCAGTAGCTAGTCGTTCATTCTGCTGTTGGCATTCAGTGCTGACTGTATACACTTGATTTACCAGGCTGGTTAACTTGAGCTCCCTGGGAGTTGTATCATCTTATTTATTTTGGCAGCTAATTACGTTTTGTCACAGAAGTGAATTTAGTGTAATTATAAGCTGTTTAAAGGAAATAATTTTGTTATTAGAGCCTTTTTTCACAGAGGAAATAAAACTTGACTCTAGTGTCTATGTAAGGATGTCTCTCCTTGCTATACGGTTGATTTTGAATATTTTAAATTTTATTCATAGGAAAAGCTGAGTAAGAATGCAATTATGGAAAAAGGCAGAAAGGTCCAAGGGCTAAAGACTAATGGAACAAGGTTTGGTCTAAGGGAAAATAAAGTCTGTGTACTGCATGTTTTGCTGTGAATGTGGATTTCTAAAAAAAATTAATCCTGTCAGGGGTTCCTGGGTGGCTCGGTTGGTTGAGTGTTGACTCTGGACTTTGGCTTAGGTCATGATCCCATGGTCTTGGGATCAAGCCCAGAATTGGACTCCTTGCTGAGCATGGAGCCTGCTTAAGAGTCTTTCTGCCTGTCTCCTGTTCTCTCAAAAAAATTATTAAAAAAAAAAAAAAAATCTTGTCAAGTCAGAGGAAGCTACAAATATATTTTTAGAACTGCAACTGCCTCTGGTTTTCCATGCCTGGACCTGAGCACCTAAATTTTGCTGATGCACTGACTAGGTTTTTAAATTAATGGTCACTCTACTGCCAAATTTTCTTATTATACCCTCTTGTATGTTCATTTACTTACTCCTTAAAATGACCATTTCATACCTTGTCTTTCCAGCCCTTCTGGAAGACTTCCCACCCATTGTACTGCCCTCTGTAAGCACCTCTCCTCTCACACCACCCACTCCATCAACCTGCCTGCATCTGTACCATGTGACCAGGACTATGATCTCTGCTCTGATCCACTCTGTCCACTTTCACTTCCTGAAGGGTATTAATCCTGCAGTCGTTCCATCTCTTCTCCGTCTCTCTCCTGGGTCATATCCATCAGCATATACTATACATGTTCTGGTATTTGCTTTCTTTAAAGAAAATTATGCCTAATCTTACAACTTCCATTTTCCTGCTTACCTTTGCAGCAGCATTTCTTGAAAAACTTCACATAGACACTGCCTCTTACTCCTTTCCTGTTCCCTCAACCCACTCTACTTGCCTTACCTTTCTCACTGCACCAGTCACTTTTGATAGGGCCACCCAGTGATTTCCTTTTTGCCAAATTCATTGGTCACTTACCTGTATCTTAGTTGACCACTCCATGGCATTATTATTGACATTGCCCTCTGTCCTGGGCAGACCTGTGCCTTTCCAGGCACAGCCAGCTAGTACTACAAATCTATAATCTCTCTGGGCAACCTCATTTAGAGCGGTAGCTTTTAAATACCATAGATACTCAGATGATCCTGGAGTATCTATCTCTGATCCTGACTTCTCACAGTTCGAATTGCCATTTGCTGTTTGACATCTCTGCTCAGATATCTAGTAGGCATCTGAAAATAAAATAGAACTACTGAGGTAACCATGTAATATATAATCAAAACTAGGACACTTGAAAATGAAAGATAAAGTGCACCATTCAGAATTATGTCAGGACAATAAGCAAACAAAACTCTAATGGTTTCCTATCACACTTAGTGAGATCCTGTTCCTTAGATGGCATTGTGATGCTCTGATGCTCTTACTCTCCCTAACACTCAGTCCCGGCCCAGCTATATTACTGGCTGCCATTCTTTTTTTTGAACAAACATTGCTGTGTAACTTTGGGTAGGTGACTTACCTTTATCTGCCTGTGTCTCATCTGTAGAAAAGTAAATGGTGGTACTCAACTTTAAGGGTTCTAAAGCACATGTTTGGCTCTTAGGAGGTGCTGCATAGAACTATCTTTCACTATCCTAAGGAACCAAACAGATTTGGATAGTAAGGGTTACTTGCATTTGCTGAATGAATAAAAACATGGCCTGTGCTTTGTACAGGTTTTTCATTACTTAAGAAGGCCATGCACACATAGCACACAGATGTTTGAGTATCAGAGTCAACTGTTTCGTTGTCTATTTGTTACAGAGTTCAAACTCCACAGATGAACATAAGCCAGTCTTTATCTGGGTAATGTCTATCTTGGAACAAGATTTAGAAAGAGAAACTTGGAATACTACTAAAATCAGTACCAACCATGATGCACTTTCACTTTTGGAGCCAGACCTGGATTTTCAGTTTTCTAAAAAGCTGCTTACTTCAAATGTAAGTTGGATCATTTCCTATTTAAGGAATTTAACAATTTTCATAAAAATCTCTAAGTTTGTTGTTAGTACTCCTTTGGCATGTCAGGTAAAGGCATGACTTTTCTTATGCCAACTCCTAAGCAATCCTTTTTCTGTTCACAGGTTTGAACAGATGTCAGATCATAGTAAATCTGGGCTCTGTCACTTGACAGGCAGGCTTCTGTAAGCTTTCTTCCTCATCTGGAAAATGGGAAAGTAATGCACAAAAAAAGAGTTCCCTGAGATGGTCTATTTTAAACTCACCACACAAACAAGCTGTATTCTTTTTGGATGAGAAATACTTTGTTCTTAAAGGCACTCATTTACCCCAACCAAAAGATGAAGTCAGCTTTCTCTTAAAAAATATAGAAGTTTGCTTATTGTTTCACTTAAGCTACAGAATTCAGACATTAGAATGATGTTTCAGAGCTGGTGGCGAGGAACAGTCTGTTCCAGATGAAATGTGCTATATAAATAAGAATATATCCATATTTTGAATTAAGGGAGTGTACTTGTCAGTATGTTAGAAATGATTCACAAAGTTATCATTCTGATGTGCCATTTACTAGTACGGGAGTTTTTGAAATAGCTCAGGCAGAATTACCAACTTTATTTAAAACAAATGCAGTTTATAGTTTAAAATATAGCAAATGAGTCAGATTGTCTACTTAGATGTAACTTAGATGAAGCTAAACAGTTTCTTAAAATTACTAGTGCCTACAAAACCAACTAAAGTCTCTGCTACTCGACTTTATTCTGCAATGCTAGAAAGAAGCAGCGGTCTGCAAGTTACTCTTCAACGTTTAACGGTGCCACTGGGTTAAATAATGGCCTTCCTTTTTGGGCCTGAATTTTGCCAAAGTTAGCCTCAAACTCCTTTTTTGTTCCACTTAGATTTACTAGAGGCCCATCCTTTATTCTATGGCCTAGGGAATTCAGTTTCCTTATCCTGTACTGTACTATCTGCGGTGTTAATTCAAGAACCACTGGCGTGTCTTTTATCTGAGCTATGGAAATTCCTTCTTTCAATAATCCCTGAATTCTTTCTTCCAAAACTGGAACAGAATAATATAAAATGGCAGGACATTTCAAAACTAACTGCTTCAGGTCATGATCTGAGCATTTAAAAACATTTTTAGAGAAGGAAATGCTGTTCTGTATACTTCCGGGGCAAAGCTGGAAAAGAAATCCTTTGAGTTTGGAGAGAAGCTGGAGAATATCAAAGTTTGTGAAACCTTGCTGCTGGAGAAATTCTAGTGTTTCCTTTATAGCTGCAGAAGAATTCAGCAAAATAAATGGGTTTTGGCTTAATAATTTCAGTAACCAAACTTTCATGTTGGCCTCAGAGCCACCTAAATTTAGATAACTCTTTTGGAGAATACTTATCATTTGCTTATTTTTCTCAATAGGATTATGAAATATATTAGATGCAGTTGTCAATAATCTGCTAATGACCACATTTTTGAGTCCCAACTCTTTAAAGAACTGAATGTTCAGTTTCTGAGTTTCCTGGTCTTTAACAGTAAAGAAAGATTCTGGAAACTGTTCTATTAACTTGACTAACTCTTGCTCATTTTTGCACACCAACTGCCAGAGTTCTCTCTGGGTGTTAACAGCCGTAGGGCTGCAGACAATTGCTTCTGGGCAGCGCTCCAATATACTGGCTACAGCAGTTTCATCAGCACCTAGTTGTTGTAAAACATTTGCAATTTCTTCAACATAGGTTTCATCCTCAAAAAGTACCCATCCTTTTAATCTGCGAATTTTCCTGACGTCGACTGAAAATTTATAAAGCTTTTCCACTGTTGTTTTATTTTCTTTGTTTGACTGATGATCATTTGTATAGGTGAGGCATGCTAGAAAGGGTCTGTAGTTTGGAGCTGACAGCATCTTTCTGAAAGAATACAGCCTGCAGGGCTGGGATCTTATCAGCAACTTCCACAGCATGCCTGCAGTCATTGGCTAATTGCCACTGTCCTGGGTCTCAGAATATACTTAATGCACCTGTAAGAAAGAAAATGCAGGTTTTACATGGGGCATTGACTTTTAAAACAGAAACATGAATTTGGGCTGTAAGTAGTAAGCACACAAATAACATGGATGTAAATTAGACAGGAAAACTGAATTTTGTCAAAGTTGGCTTCAGACTTTTTGTGGAATATTACATATCCTCTTAACTAATGTATAAAGTAACTAACATACCTCATCACAACTGAGACACCTTCTACACTATAAGCCCATTGTCTTTGTGAGCTTTGCTACAACCTTGTGAAGTAGCTTCCATTTTACACATCCGGAGTAAGGCCACAAACAGTTCAAGATTCAAAGACTTCAGATGTCATTCTGATACAAATTCCCTTTTCTGCAACACTTGTTATGTTTTTCTTTAGGAGACATATTTTACTTATACACACACACACACACACACACGATTTTCTTTTTAACATTTTACATTTTCAAGTTTATGCTTAGCTGAAGCAAATACTTTGCGGGGGAGTCATCTCTAATTTTATATTTTAGAGTAAATATTTTTGCTGAATAATTATTACCCAAAGTGAATTTATTTAAAATAATAAGTGTAAGCTTGTTTCATCAGAATTACGTGAAAATCCTTTTCATAAATCTAAAATTAAAGTAAGTCTTAGCCAGGTAAAATGAGAAACGCTGTGTGACTGCCCCAGTGGAGAAATGGGCAATCACATGAAGTGGAACGGGGGCCATACTTTCACAAGAGTGTAACCAGCTGTCCCCAGTTGACAGCTTTAGCTACCTAGAGATGGCTGTACTGTGCTTAATGCATTATTGACTTTGGGCACGGTTTTCTTGTTATTCTCTGGTAATGAAAACATGCCTAATTTATTGTTTTAACTTTCAGCACCTAAGAGTATAAATGCCACATCCCTGCCATAAAAGCATGCAGTGCTTAACTATTTAGCTAGTTAACAGCCTTCCCTTATTATTTGTAGGTTTGAAGGAAAGTTGAAAAAAGCCATAATCCAAACCCGGCCCTTAATCATACCATTGCCACATATGCCAAGGACTTTTCACTTTCAAGCCTGTCCTAACTAATGCAAATAAATCACTATTCTCTAAGGAAAAAGAACAAGTAACAGTGTTCTCAGTTTGGTTTACCATTTGTAAACCAAATAATAGCTCATTGTTAGTGTCCACGGTTTTTAAGATAATTGTAGGCGTAGTTTGTTTTACTTCTAGTGGTTCAACCAGTTTTTTTTTTTAATGTAATTCCTAGTGCTAGTTTCCTTTAGATGATTCCTAAATAGCTAAGATAGAAATATTAGGCTATTTTATAAAATTTCTAAGAGGACCACAGATCTTAACAGGAAGGAAGGGGGAGGTACTGCATAATGATGGACACATGCAGCTCTAGTCTGGAGCCCTGCACCCCACAATCTTGGGCCTCACATCTGTACCATATGCTGGAAGGAGCATGGACTCTGTGGGCAAGATACCCATGCTCAGTCCTGGTTCTAATTTATGGGGTCATCTTGGGAAAGTTACTTAGCCTCAGATTAAGTAAGTAAACAAGCAGTGACCAGAACAGTGCCTCACAGTAAATATCCGGTACTACTGCAGCACAGTAAGTGTGCTCCTCCTCCTCCTCACAGTACCATCTGTAAAACAGAGACAAAGTACATAAACTTGACAGGAATACTGTGAGGGTTCTAATGCTTGTCCAGGACTAAGCACAAAGCTTGGTACATAGTAAGTTCTCAATAAAGAGTAGCCAGTACTAGGAAATATCTAGAGCTAGAACTCTGGTAGTAATAGGAGTGTAAATTATATTTTAGACAGAAGTACACTGTTTACAAAAAGTAAAAACTGTGAAAACTATTTTAAATGCTTTGGTCGTCCCAAATAACTGTTTATAAAAAGCTTTATAAAAGCAATACATTCTCACTACAGAGAATCTGCCAAATTCTGAAAAGTATAAGGAAGTGGAAAAAGTCACAACTCTACTACCTATAGACAACTGTTCATATCTGACATACATGTCTGTTTTTTTCCTGATTCTTGCACCCTTTATTATAATTTTTAATTATATATAAAGCAAGGCTACCTTGTATATAAGAATTAGGGTCTAAGTTCAGCCTACAATTTGAAATTGTGAAGACTCAGAATTTTTCTTGAAAATGTCTTAAACAGGCACCACACCAAATACCAACATAATGTCTCTAGGTGAGTCCAGTCAAGCAAGGGGCTCCTTGAGCACTGGAACAGATCCCGTGTTTGGCTAAGCATCAGATGAAACAGGTGGCTTAGTGGGGGGGGTCATGTTATACAAAATGACAGATTAAACACTAGCACCACACTGACCACAGCAAGATGCTCCTGCCCACTGAGGCTGAGGAGAAAGCAGGCCATTTCACATTTCCTGCTGACCCGGGGGGGGGGGGGGGAACTACCATGTGCTCAGGTGAGTCGTCTCATAATTAAAGCTGCCTGTCTTGCTCTTTTCTCCCTGATGAGCAAACACAGCTGACGGCAAGAAAAGTAAAAAGCACAAATGTTGTGACTCCTCTGTAATCAACACACATTATATATACAGTTCATCCAAGTATCTAAACTTAGCGTCAAAAATACTCTAAACATTTAAAATGAGTACATGACATATGGGATTGTTACACTGTAATTTTGTGATTCATTCCCTAACATCAAGAATTTGAGCTGTTTCTAATTATTTGTTATATGCTATCTGTTCACATTTCATTGTTTTCTTTTAGGATGAATTCCTAGTAGAATTATTGAAGAGGAGGTATGTGAATATTTGAAAAGCGAGGTTGTTAATTTACTATCCAGAACAAGTATCAGTTGACCTTGTCACAGGCAGTACGATGGATTTTCTCATCAGTTTTAATTCTGTTATGTGAAAAATGAACACAACACTAACTTCGTTTTCTTATATGAATGAGGCACAGCTTCATGAATCATTTTGACCATCTATTTCCTTTAGTGAATTAACTATTCCTGTGTTTAAAAAAATTTTTTTTTTATTTTTTTGTTTTTTATTTATTTCTAGGAGAGAGAGAGAGAGAGACAGCGTGAACAGGGGAGGGTCAGAGAGAGAGGGAGTCACAGACTCTGAAACAGGCTCCAGGCTCTGAGCTGGCAGTCAGCACAGAGCCCGACACGGGGCTCGAACCCACGAACCGCGAGATCATGAGCTAAGCGAAAGTCGGATGCTCAACCGACTAAGCCACCCAGGCGCCCCCCCCAAAATTTTTTTTTAAATATTTATTTTTGAGAGACAGATGGAGAGCAAGCACAAGTGGGGGAGGGGCAGAGAGAGGGAGACACAGACTGTGAAGCAGGCCCCAGGCTCTGAGCTCTCAGCACAGAGCCCAACTCAGGACTCAAACTCGTGAACTGAGGTAATGACCTGAGCCGAAGATGGATGCTTAACTGACTGAGCCACACAGGCACCCCCTATTCCTGCTTTTTTAAACAGCAATCTGCTTTTTAAAAATTCACTTCTATAAACTCTTCATATATTAAAAAAATAATCCTCTTGATCTTGGAAAGATTTTCTCCAGTTCACTTCTGGTTGTTGAAGGTACATTCTAGCATACCAAAATGGTTACATTTTATTGTGCCAAGATATAACTTTTACCATTTTAATCTTTAAAAAAATTTATTTTTTGAGAGAGAGAGAGAGAGAGACCGAGTGTGTGTGTGTGCGCGCGCGCATGCAAGCAGGGGGGGGACAGAGGGACAGAGAATCCGCAGGCTTGATGTTCACCATGGAGCCCGACACGGCGATCAATCCCGTGACTCTGGAATCACGACCTGAGCGGAACTCAGGAGTTGGATGCTCAACTGACAGAGTCACCCAGGCAACCCCCATTTTTACGTATGCAATTCAGTGGCATGAAGTAAATCCACAGTGTTGTACAACTACTACCACTATTTCTAGAACTTTCTCATCACCCCAAACACAAACTCTGTTCCCATAAAACAGTTAATTCCCCCCTCCCACCTCTCAGCCCCTGGTAACTTCTACTTTTGGTCTCTAGGAATTTGCCTATCCTTGTTACTTCATATTAGTGGAGTCTTACAATATTTGTCCTGTTGCAGCTGGCTTGTGTCACTTGGCATCATGCCTTCAAGGTTCATACATAATATAGCATGTGTCAGAACAAAGTAGTAAATTTTAAGTGGTCAAAGAGTCATGGAAGTTTCCCTTGATTCCTACTGCTTTCTGCACCACATGATGATAAAAATTCACCCATTTTAAAAAGTTAGCTCTTTTAATTCACTTGAAATTTCTGTTATGAGCTGCAAGTCTAAACAGATTATCAACAGTTTAGCTATATCTAAGCACTCTTTTTGAACATTCCTTTCCTTCCCCACAATTTGTGAGGCCTCCTTTACTATACATGTAGCATTGGGGCACGTGGGTGGCTCAGTTGGTTAAGCATCCAACTCTTGCTTTTGGCTCAGGTCATGATCTCACGGTGGTTTAGGAGATCGAGTCCCAAGTCGGGCTCTGCACTGACAGCGTGGAGCCTTTCTTGGGACCCTCTCTCTGTTCCTCCCATCCCCCCAAATAAATATTTAAAAAAATGCAGCTTTTGATTCTACCTAGCTTCCATCTGCAATTCCCTATGTTGCAATTCCCTGAATGAGCCAGGAGGCTAATTTCTTTGCTGCATTCTTGGCCCCCTCTGCCAGACCATTCAAAACAATACTTGGGACAACTTACTCTTGTGCATACATCCCCCCACCAAGGATGTCAGATCTCAGCTCGGGCCTCCAGCTTCCCCCAACCCCTACTCCACTCCCAACCAATGCTCTTGCCTCTTATTTGTACAAAGGAGAGAAACTCATCAGACCAAACTGAAACCTTCTGGTATCTCCCCTCCCCTACAATTATTCCCTTCAGTACCCGGGGTTATCCCTGCTCCTGTGCTGGTCCCAACCTCTCTGGCCTGAGGCATCCAGAGCCTTTCTTCCTCGTAAACTCACTCCTTCCGCTGTGTTCTCCTCTCTGCGGCTCCCACCCTTCACCTCACAGGCTCTTCTCGATGCCGCTCCACCGAAAACCCCATTCTCTCTTACTCTCAGTCAGTTCTCACAGATCCTTCTTTTCTCTCCACTTCCTTTCCTCCTCCCTATACAGATCCCAATAAAGACAATTTGCACGTGACTAGAGCCAATGAGCGCTCTTAGTTCCGATCTCTTTTGACCTCTGCAGCTTTCAGCACAGCTGACCACTTTCTCCATGAAATAGTCTCTCACCTGATTTCCAGGGCTTCCCATCCTCCCGGTTCTCCCCCTTCCTTCCTCTGCTCTGACTTCCCTTTATCGGTCTCCTCTGCAGGCTCATCTTTAAGGCCTGATTCTAGGCTCTCTCTCGTTCTTACCTTACCGTTTCTCCTTAGAGATCCTGTTTTCATCCAGGGCTTCAGTTCATCATTTGAGCTTCTCTACAACTTCTCAAAATGTGATCTTGTCATTTCGTCATTTCCCTGCAATAAACCTTTCAATGGCACTTTAGGATAAAAACATAAAACAAAATAAAAATGCCTTACTGCGTGGCCTAAAAGGCCTCTCTGTCTGGCCTCTGTCACCACCCCAATCTGTGTCTATAGCCCTCACTCCCCCCAAAAAAACCCCAACCCCACCAGTTCTCTTCAGCCCCTGGTGCTCTACATGTTTGCACCGCGGGGTCTCTGAAGACTGAGGGCTGTTCGCTGTTCCCAAAGTAGCCCTAAATCCCAGGTCTAAGTGTCACTTTCTCGGAGACTTCCTGGACGTTCATGATGAAGCCTCCGGTCCCCATTACTGGCTCTCACAGTACCATGGACTGCTCCTCGGTGCCACTTGTCACCGTTACAGCTGTTCATGTGTTGTTTCTGTCTCACCCTCCGTGTGGGCAGAGACTGGTCATCACCATGTTCCAATGAATTCTTCCCTGTCACTTGACTGGCATTTTCTGACTCTAGGAGGCTGGGCAGGTGGACCTTAGTGTGTGCTCTTCCACGGGACCCGGCTCTTGGCCCTACTACAGCACTGAAACTCCTGGAAGTTCTTCACCCATTCAACCTGTGTTTTCTTTTTTCTTTTCTTTCTTTTTTAAACTCATGCTCTGTTGTTAGACATTACACTAGATACTAGCTCTTCTGCTAAAATGTTTCTTTAAACCTTTGGATCACAGACAGCACTGGAGAGCCTGGTGAGAGCCACAGACTCTCTTTCCAAAAAGAAAAAGGAGGCAGGAAAAGACCCACACTCACAACATTTTGTGAAATATTTTCCCGGGATTCATGGGCACCCTGCAGCCCGGCTATGAACAAGCTACACTAGACTGCAGGCACTGGGAGGGCAGGGTCTGAGTGCCATTCTGCTCTCTCCCTTGCACCTGGCAAAGAACTCGGTCCACAGGGGTACAAAATCAGTATTTGTTAACTGAAACTGAATGAACAAACCAAGTTCATGAGGCGTCCTAATGTGGTGGGTAAAAGTGATCTGTATGGGCTTAATTCCTGGTCATTAGTTGTGTTGTGACTTAAGAAAGTCATGTCCCCTCTCTGTGCCTCAGTGGGGAGTGTCAGGAAAATGGGGACCCTATATCCTGGGTGACTGTGAAGACTAAATTGAGCTAATACCATAAACCACTTACAGAGTATTCAGAAAATTTATTAAGTTATCACACCAACCCATTTTAAAGATGAAGAAACAGATGCTGGTAAAGTAACTTGCCCAGGGCTGCTCACTAACAAAGGGCAGGGCCTTGGGTCAAAACCCACCAACGTGGTTCCAGGGTACAGCTCTTTGCTGTGCCCTACACGGTAATGCTCTTAGCAAGTGTTTGTTAAATCACAACGTGGGCTACGCCCAGATACCTGCTGTTTCTGAAGCATTTCTAAGGAGTGAAATGCAGTTTTCATTCTTAACTCAGTCCCCTCTACAACACCAGTAATTTCAATTACGTTCTACTTTTATAACATGTACGCTCTGACAGTTCCAAATTAACCCCAATGTTTACAAACAAGTAAAAACGAGGGCCGAAGGACGAGACTCGGGGAATGATCGAAAGCCATACATCCATCTCGTGGGGCCTGCGCGTTTCCAGCGAAACTTCTGCCCGGTGGCGCCGAGGCATCCGCCCACGCCAGGCAGACGGAGCGGAGCGGCCGAACCGAAGTCTGGTTTCGCCGTGCGCGGCCCGTGGTCCCCGGTCCCCAACCCCACCCAGTCGGCCCCTGAAATGCTGGTGAGGCTCACCCGCAGGGTCGTAGAAAGGGTCGTGACTCACCTGTCCGCTCCGTCGACGACACAGTCGATCCCGGGTCCCTGGCTCCGTCCTTCCTCCCTCCCCCCGTGGAGGTCTCCCCCAGACCTGGGAACGGCGGCAAGGTCCCAAAACTAGGGCCCGAAGAACCCCGCAAATTTCCCTCAGGAGTGCCGTCCAGGCCACCTGCCCCTCTGTCCGCAGCCAATCAGGACGCAGGAGACCCGAGAGCTCGCAAACGTGGGCCCGCAGCCGTATGCCCCCGGAGTCCCAACGCCACCAATCAGGACGCAGGACACGGGTTACGTGACCCACACGCAAGGCGGGGCTGCGTGGAGGAGGCGTGCCCGTGAGAGAGGCCGCTTTCCAGCGAGCAGAGCCGGCTGCCAGCAATTATTGGGGCCGGTGTTTTCACAGTTTTTCCTTAGCAGCATTTAGAAAACGGGAGTTGCGGTTGTTTTGTCCCTTGAAGAATGTCACTAGCCCATGAGGAAAAACGTAGAATTCAGAAGCCGCTGTACCTTTAAGCTGTAGCCACTTAGAATTCCCAAAATAATTCGATAGGTAAAAAACTAATTTATAAATGTAGTAAAAAACAAAAAACCAAAACCCCCAAACCTCTTTGGAACACATCTAGCCTTCCCGCTACGCCTCCGACTCGCCCCCAGTAGTCAGCGACTGTGTCTGATGTCGTCTTTTAAAGCCTCTCCTGCCGCTTTCACCTAAACACTTGCTTTTCCCGATAAACTGCCTAGTGGTTTCCATTTCTGTGACGCTCACCTTATAAACTAATTTCTCCTTAATGCCGGTCTTCGTGTCCATCCCATTTATCCTCACATTTATCTAGCCGTCAACAGATATTTATGGTATGCCTGTTACTGTGCCAAGCATGTGAAACAGCAGTGAGAAGACCCCGGTGGACAAGGGGGAATAAAGTACATTCCCTGTCCTGATGGAGTTTACATGTAGGACAGTGGAGGACAAAACGTGAACAACCGGTAACGTGATTAATCCCAGCTACAGTTAAATGTTTCCAAAGACAGGGTGTCCCCACCCTGCCTAGTTGTCCGACGCCCCTGGGTAGAGCTGGAGTTCAGGAAAGCTGGGACTTTCCCGGCTGGCGGTCTCTCCCTTCGTGAGTTTCACAGCACACCGTGCACAGTTCTAACAGCCTGAACTCACACCACTGTAATTCTTCCAGACTGGCCTCTCACCTTGTGAACTCCTTGTGGATACTTACGAATTTATTTTCCCATGAACAATATTTGGCACATGACAGGAATTCAGGAAATGCTAATTTGAGTCTAGCCTTAATATTCACTTTGTTCTCAAAAGGCTTTTTGAGAGGGGCTAACATTCACACTTTAAATAATTACTCAGAGTAGCAGCAAGAATCCTAGCTCCTTCTCTCAGGATCAGCTTTGATCTCCAGGACATTCTAGAATTAAATGAGTAGCTAATGTATATGATGAGGTCAGGGAGTGACCAGTAACCTTCCTCCTCCTGAGTTACCCTTATATAAAAATCCTATTATTCATGGCTTTATTGAACACTTTTCCCAGCAATAGAGGGATTTGGGGTCCAGACTAGACAAAATGTTTCACTGCATGGAAAAGGGAATTGGAATAGGATACACAGAAGTAAAGGAAGTCAACGATGTAAACTCAAGCACCTTAGGACTGCATGCTGCAGTCACTGGTCGGGAGGGAGCAGATATGTACACCAGGGGCTGGTAGCTTAGCTTGCACCAGGGCTCCACAGACTTAGGTAAGAAATGGCAGTACCGATTACCCTGTGCATTGTAATCAAAACTTGAAACTGACCAAGTCCTCTCTGCCAACTGTATTAATAAATAAACACTACCTAAAGTTTTTTTCCATTACAAATATTTAGTGAATTTCTAGCACAATACAATCAGAAAAAAAAATACTTGGATGGAGAAATGGAGGAAAGAAGCCAGTATAATGCATTATGACCTACATGAAAATTGCAAACATGTTTGAAATTGTGGGAAGATCCTAAAGTTTCTAGTACTTAAAGAGATGCATTAAAAGTAATATTATCAGTCTTTTATATCCCGAGTTTACTAATTTATTTCAAGTGAATGTAAAAACATAAAGACTTAACATAGGTTCTTTCAAAAGCTTGGTTTCCTCAGCTCGATTCTTCCAAGATGGTAAAACAGAACAAGTTTGGTAATAAGATTTCAAGATATAATTTCCTGAATGAATAAAAGGTCTTAAATCCCTCAACCACAAGCAGGGTTTTCAGAACACTAACCCTTCTAGTTAGGGGAAACCATGCATTCAAACATCTACTCAACTGGAACACAGTGACTGCTACCTGTCTTTCCCTTTCAGTGATTGTTTTTATTTACAATTCAATCCAAACTGAAAAAGCTTTCTGAACAATCCCCTAAAAACCAAATACCCCTACATTTAAAACTACAATATTCAGCCTATGCTGAAACAATGTTCTTTCTACTAAAATATTTATTCACACAAAAATTGAATCTTTTATTCCCCTGGACGGTGATGGTAAATCCTAGGTCTATGAATTTCTCAATGCTGTACAGTACAATCAGGTCCAAAGAGTAGCTTGTTACATACAAGTATCATGAAAAACAATGAAAATATCACTCCTTGGGGTGCCTGCGTGGTTCAGTTGGTTAAGCATCCAACTTTGGCTCAGGTCATGAGCTCACAGTTCATGAGTTCGAGCGCCGCATCAGACTCTGTGCTGGCAGCTCAGAGTCTGGAGCCTTCAGATTCTGTGTCTCCCTCTCTCTCTGCCCTTCTCCCATTCATGTTCTGTCTGCCTCTCTCTCTCTCTCTCTCAAAAACAAACATTTAAAAAAATGAAAAATAGCACTCCTTATTAATGGTAGTGAAAGAAGATAAGGCATATTTTTTTCTTTTCTCAGTAATAGAGCTTATCAGTTAGCATTAATTCATTACCCAGGATACTTTTTAAAATGCATATCATATAAAAATGCTACTGTTTCTGGATTTTGGATTCAAATTATTCTTACTTTACTTTTAAATACAATTATCTCACTGAACATCTACCACAACTAATGACTGGAAAAATCAAAAAAGATTGTAATTTCAAAAGGCAAAAACTTGCCTACAAGAGACAGGAATGAGATAATAGTAGTAATGAAAATAATGACAGCTAAACAGAGCTCCAGCAGACAGCTAAGCAGACTGCGCACTGCACAACCCAGGGAACTACACAGCATGGCAGCCCTGCAGCTCATACTCAGCGAGTCTCCTACCACATGCCAGGCACTGTTATCAGCATTTCATATGTAGTTTGAAGGAGATACTACTCTCATCCCCATTTCACAGATGAGAAAAAAGAAGGCACAGAAGGTTAATAACTTACTCAAGATCTCAAGGCTATTGAGTGGCAGAGCCTGGCCTTTTGACCCCAGAGCCCACATTCTTAATTTTAGTGACTAACTTATAGTTACAATCCTATTACCTGAAAAAAATTTGGTTTTAAAGCTTTCTTGCAGATAACTATTTTTGAAAGTACAAAGTATCTGGAAGATAGTAATCTTATTTGAAATAGTTTTGAAACATACTATTTTATTAAATCTATGGGAGTTGTTCCTTCATTCAGAATGGTTACATGTGGTTTATAGAATCTGTCTTTAATTTATAATCACATCTCATAATAAAACCTTAAAAAAGGGGAAAAGAAAAAAACAACCAAGTACACAAGATTCCATATATGCATATACTTTAATGACAAGGTCACTTAGCTGTAAATGAACAAAAGGAGAGAAGGAAAACTTAACACATGATACTTCCACAGATTTGGGTCAAAACAGGTGTACATGAAGCTTTAAAACATATATTGTCTGTGTTAACAGAGGCTGTAACTACCAATTTTGATTGCGCACATTTTCTAAAACATTATTATCAAAGAGTGTAAAGTTAGATCAAACAATGATGTCAAGAAAATTTTATCCTAAAATTTTAACAAAGTCTTTTAAGAAAGTCTAAAAACCTCCTATCTTCCCACATTGACTCTCAAAACATTAATTTTTCTATCAGAATATCAGTTTAACTTTAACTTTTACCATACATGAAAAATTATCAAAAATATATTGATGGGTCTATACTAATTGTGACTATTTCTATTTACATTAAGCAATTTTTATTAAGTTCTTTATATACAAATTACCATTTGTCCTATGTGAAATTCATTAAAAAGTTTAAAACTACAGAAATGTCATTAGAAACAATGCATTTCAAAATGTAACTGCTTTCCATCAATGAAGAACATTTTAAAATAATTTAACTGAAAAAAGTATTGAACTCCCCACCAATTTCAGCTGCAACAGTATTCCTCCTGAATGTTTTCTGTGATTTAAGGGGAAAAAGAAACTGGGTAAAGTTTGATTGCAAGGAATTAAATAATAAAAATTTGATGAGTGTTTACTGATCTTCAAGAAAGTTACAGTCTACTTAGGTTGGCACTAAAAAAACAGCAGTTTTTTTTTAATTTTAATTTTTCCCTATCACTGTATATATAATATTACTGAAGTATAACTGACATAAAATATATTAGTTTCAGGTGTACATCAATCACATTGATTCAACAATTCTATACATTACTTAATGCTCACCATAAGTAGAGTTAGCAATAATTTAAAAAATGCAAAACTTTAAGATAACGAAGAAACAAAAGTCTTTAATTAAAAACTGGCAAATGCACTAGATAGATATTTTTCATATAAATTTAAATGATAAAATAGTACGCCACATCCAATTCAAGTGAATATAGCCATAGCTTTTTGGATACCTCTAAAAAAGGTCCTGTATTAAAAAAAAACTTAACTATTCTCTAACTAGAAAGAATTTAGATTTCAGAAGTATCACAATACATAAAAGAAACTTAAAACATTTAAGAGGCAAAGATTTGGGGAAAAGTTCATGAAGGGATTATATTAATATTACTAAAATAAAAAGTCACTTTAACTGTTTTAGACTCATAGTAAGGAAATGAAAAAGATGTCTTTTTCTGAGAAAAAACTTGAGCACATCAGAAGTTTTTCAAATTTAAAGATCATCAATTAAGATGACCATTTTTAAATCTAAGTGCAGCACTCTGTCCAGTACAAACGCACTTCTCTTGTCTAAGAATTAAATGATTTTGTAACAATCACTGAAAAGTTAAT